CATCACCCATGGATAACATGCACGGAAATCTCCGGTTCTACTATGTACAGCAACCTTGTTTGGATTATGTGTTGTTCCTTGGGTTTTTTGAAGTGATATCGTTCTCTTTATCAGACATCAACTCTGGCCTAATGGTCTCCATTAGAGGGCCGCTCGGATGGGGGACGACCGCCGCATTCTCGACGAGAGTCAACACAACCCTTGTATTCCTTTCTCTTCTCATGTTGTTTTTAGAAACGCGTCCTCGCGGGAGGGTGGGGATTGGGTGGGGGGTTGAGGGAGAGGGCTCCTTTTTTTCATTACGGTTAAAAACAAAATACTGATTATTGTAGATATGGTTTTGACTTGAAAAATACTGTGATTTCAGAGAGTGTCAGAACATGTTCTAGAGCTAGGGCATTACAAGATAAAAGAGTCAAAGGTATGCATTACTCATTTTGATTGTTTGGAGATTAAAAAAAAAGCATATTCTGTACATTTTATCATTCAGTATTCTCATGAAAGTATATTTGTGCTGTTTCTTTCCTCCTAACGACGCTCTTTAGATGCAGCGTTCATTGACGTCATATCCTGCTTTGTGTTTGCTAAGAGGAAACGGAGGATTGCTTTTGTGATTCGTTTGAAATTATTCTGCAGTGAAGATGTGCGAACATGTATATTCAAAAGAGTCAACATATCCGCCTACAGTTTGACCAGTTGTCATTGAGTATATAGTATTCTTTTTTTGTTTTGTTTTGTTCGTTGAGCATTCTTCTCAGTGTCGGAGGCTCTGAGGTCGAGATTATTTGATCGGGACAGTATCGGGCAGCACGTTCAGAAGGTGGTGGGGAAAAAAGTATTCAACGTTTCAATCTTAAACTCAGTCAGTGCCATCCCACACATACGCCAAACCCCGAGGATCAGAAACGACAGCCTATAAGCAGGAAGGATTCTTGGGGGGGAAAGTGTCCCAGAAATAGCCATAAATTGAATGATGTAACAACCAAAAGGCCTACAATCCATATGGATTATTGCTGTTTTGCTCAAACACAAACACACACCTACACACACATGCAAACACACACACATTGCATTTTCAGTGCTCAGGTTCATTTGCAAAGAAAAAAAAAACCTCTAAGATTTTGTATTTAATTAATTAATTCATTGTATTTTTAGTTTTTTTAATAGGCCTGGTTAATAGTGTATATAGGTTGAAAAATTGTAGCCACTAAAAAGCGTTTTATGATATTAAAGCAGATGGACAGCTGACACTCTGTAAAAGTTTTGAAAGACAGAAAAGAGAGCAAAAAGCAGCAACATACACAACCAAACCTAGTTAGGGGCATTGGCCCCGGAGAAAAAAAATAAAAGTTACAAAGAGAGCAACTACACACAAACATATTAATGAAGTTAAGGTGTCTAAGGTGTGTTAAAATAAAAGGAGTGCTAATCAGAAACCAATTTGTCTCCTTACGTCTTAGTGAAGTTTGTATTGTGATGTGGCCCAAGCCTTGAGCTGAGTTTAGTATTCCTTATTGTGTACATTTTATGCATTGTTGTCTTATTCTCTAGAAGCAAAAAAGAAGAACAATCACTGTTGAATATAAAGCAACCCATGAAATCTTACAGAAAGACAACAAGAGTAACACAAATACATAGTGTAGTGTGTTTATATCGGATATCTTGTCTTTGTTCCAGCAGCCAAGTAGTCTGCTGTCTCGGTGATCCTAAAGTCTAATCATGCGGCTAGAACACAGCGATTACTGAAGAAAAGGAAATAGTTATTTATGAGAAAATTTGACCAAGCCCGGGAGCAGGTTCTCTTGTTAAGTGAAGATTACATATTCAGTGGCGTACTGTAGCAAGGGTAAAGGATAGAAAGGGGGTGGGGTCTTTTAAAGTTGCCAAATGAAAGTGAGTTAAGGCTGTCAACAAAAAACACAGGCAGTGGTTACGACACGCCTAAAAAAGCCCAGTACCAGTTTTAAAATAGCATTTCACTGATTTAGCATCACACTCCTATCAGACTGTCAGACTCTGGATGGACAGTTTAGAGCAAAAAGAAGGAGAAATGTCTGTTTTTAAAGAAAATTATTATTCTCATAAATCTTTTCATGTTAGAGTCTTGCATCTACGGAAGAAACTCCACCAAAATGGCATCACTGGGAGCACAAAAGCTTTATGCAGCTTCGTTCACATATGCAGTAGTAGCGCCAAACACCCGCCCAACTAATGCTAAAGTGGAGTGCCCCTTTGACATAATTATACGCATCCCTGTTACACATATGCTGCAATTTTAACATATGAGGATGTTCTGATGTAAGACATTCAGTTGACATCATTACTGTACACAGTCCTCAGTTTTCCAGTCGTTTTTTTGCAGTCAGATTTTGATTGCACTCCCACAGTGTGGACAGTCGACATTAGGGGTGTCACGATAACCGTTTATTAGCATTAACTGTGATATTTAGGAATGCAATATGGATCTTGTGCTAAATATGCACATGTAATAAATGTTTTGCTTTTGTTTTTTTGTATGCCTCTGTAGAGTTACAGTCACAGTCCCTCATAACTTCCATGCAGTTGTATTATGAGTTTAATTAATTTGCCAAAAAAAGAACCCAAAATAAACAAAGTTAAATTAGAATTTGACCAACAGCATTAGTGCCTTTTTTTTATTTTGATAATGTTGTTGATTTTTTTTTTTTTTATCGTGACAGCCCTAATTGGTAAGTGATACACAGAGTTCTCTGAGTCGGGGAGAGAGATATACATATTCCAATTTATGTTGCAGGTTACAATAAAACAAGAGTAATGATAAATGGAAGTTCATACCAGTAACACACAATTTACTTCTTTTTTCTTTTTTTTTTAATGAATTTTTGTCATTTCATCCTGCGCTGCACACTAACAGCTTGTCAAACTGTTTGAATGGAATTTGGTGGATCTTCGCTAAGAGTTTGGTCAAACTATGAGGCCAGATTATACCGTTTGTTCTAGTATAAACAAGCACTTTTTGTTTGTTAAAGTATCACAACCACACGTGTTTTTAAGTAAATTGGTGGAACGCGTTTGACTAGGGTTCAATGATTTGCACTTACACTACATTTTGTGATGTAAACTGACACAAGTATCACATTCTTCTTCAGGTTGGTTTATTGACAGAAATCAATTCAAGCATCCATTTTCATATATATATATCTATATATATATATAGATATATATATAGATATTTTTTTGTCAATAGTAAATGCATATCTTTAATAAACACCAAGCAAATACGGAGGGAAAACATTAGCGGCCCTTGCATGCTCGCAGAAGAAGAAGAAAAAATACAACAACAAAATTCCACCACTCGTTTCAGGGAGAACATGTATTACCTGCTTTCTGAACACGAAATCAGCACATTGTTCCCCAAAAAGCTGTGAGGATCTTCTGTTCTATGCTTTCACTTTAAATTTTTTGCTTATATGGGAGAGAAAATAAATTTCTTTTGACACATGTTCATGGAGTGGCGCAGGAGGAGGAGGAGAAAAAATGTGTTGAACTGATTTCAATGTGAATTTTCTTGCCTCTAGTGTATATGTGTAATTACATGTGAATTGTACTGTAAATATGATATCTTTCACTTAATAGTTCTTAATGCATGAACAAAAACATGGCAGTTCGTAATACCAGCTAGCCTCACTGCTAATGGCATGGACAGCTTCTCTAGCATTGGCATACTTCTGCAAACGAAACCTAAAAAATGAAACAGAAGAAATACACGGTGTGCACAAAATAATGGAGAAATCAATGCAAAGTCCTCTGACAGTGAAGGAGTTTCTGGTGGTCCCGAGCTTGTATCGGTTCACCCATTCCCTCCAGAACAAGGCTAATGCTAATGCTGTTGAAGATGCCTGGAAATTACAGTATGCGGCCTTGGTGCACTCTCAGCGAATGGGAATTTCCTAATAACTTTAGGATTTGCAGAAGATTTCAGTACAGGACACCTGCTGCATTTACCTCAGCCATGGATAAACCACTCAGTCATCCGCGAATCCTCTCAGAAAATTAAGGGCATGATTGGCTTGCTGGCTCGTAGAGGCTAGAGGAGCAGGTTTGCCTTAAGAAGGCGAGTGGGATGTTCTTACCTGTTCCTCAACAAGACAGTCGCATGTGCCCTTGAGCAAGGCACTCAGCCAGTTGCCTAAATGCAACTGCTCAGTTGCACAAATCTGTGTAGGATGGTAATGAAGTATTTTTTAGCGGTGGTGAGGGTATTAATACAAAATTATTCCCTGGGTGCATGTAAAGATCCACGAATCTCATAGTATTATTAAACAGTTTAGTTAATGTGGGCTTGTGCTCTTTTCGATGTTCTATAAAGTGCCACGTTAAATGCCATTACACATCTTACCAAAGTTTCATCTCCAGTCTCCACATTAGCTCGCTTCATGTGGCACTGAAAGAGTGAACCACAACCACGCGAGCATGTTGAACCAACCAAAACACCAGAACAAGGCTGACTGGCTCCTCACTGTTGGAAGAACTTTTGTTGGTGCATTCATTATTTTGTATGTACCTTGTAACTGGTTTTGTTTTGCATGACCTGAGTTTTAAAAGGTTAATTTTCCTACATTTTTACTCCGCACCATCTGATTCATCTCCACAGCCAGGAAGAGAAAGATCCAGTGTTTACATGCTCAAAATTGCACTTGTTTTACAGCCAGTTCTGCAAATCTTGTGAAAAAAACTGTTCATAAAACTGGAGGACGTATCGCGCGATTGTGGCAAAACGCGAATATGTACCTCTGCAAAAGTAACTGTAAATCACAC